TTCCTGCCTGCAGAACTAGACCCTTCCCAGGACAGAGACTGGGTCAGAGCTCTGCCGGACTCTGGCCCAAATGTGTCCGATGACCTTGATATGACCCTGCCTTGGTTTCCCTACCAGGGCCCCGAGGGGCTCAGCTTGAGTGATGTCCAAGGGCTACTCCTCCCTCAGCAGTACTCCTCCCTGCAGCCACCTTCCCCACTTGTGGCCCCCAGAGGGAGGGGGGGTGGGCGGGTCTGAACCTGGGGTCTGTGAGGAGAAAGGAAGGGCAGAAAGGGGGGTGCTCCCCTGGGCGGTCCTAGACCCACAACTGGGAAAACAGGTTTGCCAGCTGATGTCAGCTCTCTGCTAAGGGGAGGGGCGCGGTTGTCGGGAGAACCTTCTGGCCAACTCAGGGGTCTCTGAACAACCTCCATCAGTTCAGTCTCTTACCTTATCTTACCCCCTCCCCCAAGCACACACACAATAGGTCCCTAGCAGGGCTCAAAGTAGCACAGCCGCCACTCCCTGGGAGCCCAGCATGGAGGGGTGGGGACCTGTTCCCAAGAGCAGGAGCAGGACCAAGTGGGCAGGAAGGCAGCACTGGGAGGTTGGCCGAAGCTTCCGGTTCATACTCACATCCTGGATTTGTTTGCTCAGCCCTGGGCCACCCCCTGACTGCCCGGGCTTCTAGGGCTACAACCAGCCAGCCTGGGCCCCAGACTTGCCCTGAGGAGGTGAGGAGCTGGAGGGGACAGGGGAGTTAGCACAGATGAGTGCTAAACCCCCCTAGGGAAGAGGGGGGCTGACCATTTGCAGAGCTCAGTGAGAAGGGGCAGCCTGAACACTCACCATTAACGTCCCTCAGACTCATTACCTGGTTCAAGCCCCCCACTTCGCCTGGTCACAGGTGCAGAAACCGAGGACAAGAACCTGCCCGCAGCCATAGGGGCAATCAGACGCATGGGGGCCAGGGGAGGTTTCCTTCTGAATCTTTTCCCTTCCCAAAGACCAGCGCTTGGAGATGTGGACAGAGAGAGCTGGGGGAGGGGACCCAATGGCAGGAGCCTTCTCCGGCGCAGACAAGCCATACTGGCCACCCCTCTGCAGAGTCTAAGCCACCCTGAGATCAAGGTTGGGCCAAATTTACAGATAGAGAAGTAGAGACTCAGAGGTGTAAAGAGCTTGCCTTGGGTCACACACGCTGCCTCCTGCAAGGGGCCTGGACCTCTCACCACCTAGAGGGACTCAGTAAGCTGCGGCACTTATGGCCTGGTTTCCCGGTCCCCTGGGCCCCCGACCCAGCCCTAGGAGACAGTCAGCCAGCCTCTTCACAGAGGGCCAGCTGATCTGGTCATGAACTTCCCCCTGGTGACGAGATCAGGGGCACACAATAGTCCATTGTGCCCAGGGCACACCTGAGCCAGCAGCATGATGCCAGGCAGGTGCAGGGAGGGAGGCTGATGTCGGTGAAGAGGAGGGGGGCATTACCCCGGGATCCCTCCCTGCTGTGAAAGTAGAAGGAAAGTGGGAGCCTATGTATGTGAGACACAGAGTTTGGAAGACACCAAGTTTTTAGCTCTTACAGGACACCTGGGTCAGAGTCACACCCTTCACCTTCAGAGGCCACTTGAGGTAGTCTCTGAGACAGGACATGGAGCTTGGGAGGGAAGGGCCTCTGTCCACCCCTTTCAAACATCCCTCCTAGCTCATCTCCCCTCTCCCCTCCTTCTCCATCCAAGGCAAATCTTTTTTTTCTGGCTGGACCCCTAGGTCCACCCAGGGGTAGGGCAGGGGTCTCTTCAGGTCAGGGTCCGGGAGGAGTTCCTCACTGCCGGTGCACTGGTGGGGAACAGTCTGAATTGACTCAAATCAGACCAAAGTAGGACCCTACGTCTCTCCCTCCCCTGCCGGCACCCCCAAGCCCACTGTGACCCATAGGCCATGACCACCCCATGGGGCCGCGCCCACAGGAGAGGCAAGCCCAAACGCAAACTAAGGCTTCCTGCCTCCCCAGCCCTCCCAGTCTCTCGTTTATTTTCCGGGCCTCAGTTTCACCATCTGTAAAAGGGGGAAGTGTCCGGCCGTCTGTATCCGGGCCCCTCTCCTCAGCAGGCACGACCGAGGCTGCGCGGTCCCCACCCAAGAGGCTCTAGTGAGGTGCACGCCCGCGAGGGTCATCCCCCAGGTTTTAGTGCGGGAGGCACCGGCGGGCCGGGGGCGGCGCACACGTGTGCGCAGAGCCCAAGTCCTCCCCGCGCGCGCGCGCGCGCATCTACGCGGCCCCCAGGGACGCGGGGCGCAGGTGCAGCAGGCGCGGGGCGCGCGGAGCTGGGGGCACAGCGGGAGCGGCGTGGGACGGGCTCACCTGAGCATAGTACAGCAGCCACAGCTCGTACAGCCGCTCCGAGGCGGCCATGGCCCGGCCCGGCTCCGGCCCTGCTGCGCGCCACCTGCCGCCGCCGCCTCCTCCGCGCCGCCCGCCGGTTGCCCTCGGCCAGGCCCATGGGCGGAGGGCGTCACTCCGGGGCGGAGCGGCGCGGTACTACTCAGGGAAGTAGTACTGGCCCCCGCCGCGCCGAGCCACCCAAGTCCGCACGCTCCTCCTCCTCGCGGCCGGCCGCCGCCCGGCTTCCTGCACTTAGCTGCCGCTACCGCCGCCCCGCCTCTCCCGGGACCGTGCAAAGGGCGGGGAGCCCGGAGGGAGGAGGAGCTTGAGGTCAGGGGCGGCCCGGGAGGGCGCCCCGCAGCCCCGCTCTCAACCATCGCGCCCCTAACAGTGCCTTGAGAAGGGCCAATCTGAGCCTCCCTGACGAGGGCCGGAGTCAAGGTTTTCCAGACTTGCCCTTAGTCTAGATCCACCCCTGGAGCAGCCCGCCCGGCTGGAATTGCCACCTTTCATGCAAGGAACAGGGGAGGGGAGGGGCTGCGGGCCTTGTTCAGATGGCCAGATTCCACCAACAAATAATGGTAACAACCATGATGACACTTGTGGAGTTTATCACGTGCCTGGTGCTGTTCTAAGCACTTTAATGGGGAGACCAAACATGCAATGTTTTTGCTTCTGTTTGTGGAGCAGGATGGGGGAAAGCAGAGAGCAGCAGGGCATGCCTGAAACACCTCCGGAGGAGCAGTGCCCTCCACCTGTCCCGCACATCCCTGGAAGGTTTAGGCAGTCCTCACGGGTCCCCTCCTCCAGGGATCCTCCTAGATGCTCCAGCGGAGGCATCCTCCACTCCAGGGCTCAGCACTTGGCGTCACATCTTTTGTTTTCTTTAACCTCAAGAGGTTAAAAGCAAGAGGATGTTTCGTGCCTCTGTTTTACAGATGGAGAAATTGAGGCCCAGACAGGCCAAATGAGAAACACCGAGGTGGTCAGGGACAGCGTGGACGGGGTGGAGGCTTGATTGACTCTTTGCTGGGCCATTGCCACCATCACCCCGGAACCCCTCTCTTCTCCCCAAACCAGCCTGCCCCGGAGGTGAGGGGCCCCCTGGTATTGGGCAGGGGTCAGGCCCTCGGTTGGAGTTAGGAGGTGTGTGGAGCTCAGAAAGGCACCATCGGCTAGAGGAACTGGAGTCTGGAGTCCCTTAGACCTTGAGTGGCCAAAAGAAGACAGATTCTGTCACCATTTCCGTCCTTTTCTGCCCTCTCGGCTTCTTAGGCAGCCAGCCCCTCCACTCTGGCCCTCTTTCCTGCCCTGTCCATCTTACCTCTGAGCTGACATTTCCGGAGCACTTACTACCTGTGAACCAGATTCTGGGAAGTCGCCCCCCTGACGCAGGGGGACAGGGCACCAAAAGGCTAGTGAGGGCGAGAGGGTCGTTTTGGAGGGACTGGATAGAGGTCTTGTGGCACAGGAGCCTCTGAGGGGAGCTGGGAGGAGTGGGCATTCACCTGCCACCACCCTGGGAAGGGAGGCCCCAAGCAGGAAACAGCTTTGCTGAGACAAGTCATGGTATGTGTTGGGGGAGGGGGGTATGGCCTCTGTGTGGCTTTTCGGCACCTTGACATCCTGTCAGAAGATGTTGACTTCAGGGGCACCTGGGTGGCTCAGCCCGTTAAGTGGCCAACTTCAGCTCAGGTCACGATCTTAAGGTTTGTGGGTTTGAGCCTCGCCTCAGGCTCTGTCTGTGCTGGTAGCTCAGAGCCAGAGCCTGCTTTGAATTCTGTGTGTCTCTCTCTCACCCCCACCATCGCTTGCACTCTGTCTCTGTCTCTCAAAAATGAGTAAACGTTTAAAAAAAATTTTTTTTAAATAAAGATCTTGACTTCAGCCAAAGTGGTCTCCTGGTTGTCAGGGCATGCTGGTTAGTGCAGGAAAGAAGACCCTGCCGGCTCCTGCTGGGGAGGCAGTGCATCTCTTGGCTACCTGTTGCAGTCAAGGCCAAATCAACTCTCAGGTTAGTTCTCAGGAACTAAGCTCAGGAGGTCCCTGGGGCCCACTGGGCCTAGGTTGGGTAGTCTGATCCTGAGTACTTTGCTGCTTCAGGGTGCTTGGAGGTGGGAGGGGATGATCCTTGAGGCCGAGGAAATGGCCACTGCGCAGGAGCTGAGAGTGGACATAGAAGCCCATGAACAAGTGCATCAGGAGCCACTTGATAGCTGGAGAGGAAGAGGCAGGTTTCCTTTGGGAGTGGAGAGTGACGGAAGATTTCTTGAAGGTATTCGGGCCTTGAAGAATCGGGACAAGTGGACAAATAGGGTCCGCGCATTCCAAGCGGCCGGTACGGACTGCGGTTGGCGCTGGCTTAGGCAAAAGCCGAGCGATCGACGCGCTCTATCCTCTTTCACTCAGGTCTGATTCCACTTGCTACCTTCTCACTGATTGGCATTGGATGAATCGAGCCTTACGGCCTTTCTCTTTGCCGTGCCCTCCCCCCAACAGGCGAGGCGAGTTGCGGGAAAGATAGGGCGGGCCCTTCTACAGTAATTCGGCATTGATTGGCTTTCAAGACTTCCTGTTCTCCCATTCCCTTCCCTGGATTGGCCGCCAGAGGTTCATCTACTCCTTGGGCCTGCGCGTTGCGGGACGTGGGAAGAGGCGGGCGGACAACATGGCGGCACCTACAGCTGGTGTGGGCCGGCTAGAGGAAGAGGCGTTGCGGCGAAAGGAACGACTGAAAGCCCTACGGGAAAAAACCGGGCGAAAGGTGAGGAATGCAGAGGGAGGGCCGTGGCTGAGGCAGTCAGCGTTGGGATACAGAACAGGAACTCGAGGACGGGAGAATAGGAAAAGGCAGCTGCTGAGGACGCGCATGCGCGCCCGTCTGGAGCATGCGCGAGGAGTCGGAGCCCGCCTACCAAGTCCGCTAGCTCGCTGGCTGGGACTCTTCTGGTCGCGCTTGCGCAGGAAGGTGGATGGTCCGCGGGCAACGGTCTTTTTGGCTACAATCAGGGGTTTCCCGCCTGGGTCTCCAGGGCGACTAATAAATTGGAGATGCTCGTTGGATGAGGCGTGATTTTTTTCGCTTTTCAGCGCCCTGAATCATCCGTTTCCCCACGACCCAGCCATCATCCTTCCACCTCTGGTTGAAAGTCGCAGAATCTGGCACACCCCTCCCTGTCCGCCAGCGCGCCTTGGGCAGGGCAGTACGACGCTGCTCGGGGCGCTGAGCTGGAATCGTTGAATAGAAAGTCTAAACAGAAAAACCCAGTTTCTTGGTTATGGTGCACCTCAGGGAAAGGGAGAACACTTAGTTCTTCCCAGGCTACTTCTCTGGGGATGGACCTCCTTGTCCTGTTAGTTGCCAAACTTGGAAGCCTCTTTGCTTTTGTTTGACACCAAAACATCCGATTCCATTTCCACTTAAAAAAAAAAGTTTTAATGTTATATTTATTTCTGAGAGAGAGAGAGAGCGACAGCGTGAGCAGAGGAGGGTCAGAGAGAGAGGGAGACACAGAATCTGAAACAGCCTCCAGGCTCTGAGCTGGCTGTCAGCACAGAGCCCGACGCGGGGCTCGAACCTACGAACCGCGAGATCATGACTTGAGCCGAAGTCGGAAGCTTAACTGACTGAGCCACCCAGGCGCCCCTCCATTTCCACTTTTTTGATCTTTGTGAGTAATCAGGAGGAAGGAGAGCCCTGAAGTTCGTTACCTGTGTGCAAACCCTGGCCGTGGGACTTGGGACAAGTGGCTTCATCTTCTTGAGCCTCCCTCTTTTTCTTTCTTTCTTTCTTTCTTTCTTTCTTTCTTTCTTTCTGAGCCTATTTCTTTCTTTTTTAACTTTTTAAAGTTTATTTTTGAGAGAGACTGTGAGAGGGGGAGGGACAGAGAGAGAGGTGGGGAGAAAGAAAATCTCAAGCTGGCTTCGCACTGTGGGGCTGAACTCACAAACCATGAGATCGTGACCTGAGTCGAAACAGTGGTACACTTAACTGAGCGAACTACCCAGGCGCCTCTTCTTGAGCCTGTTTCTTCATGTCTACAGTGAGGACAACCACCCCTCTATATGAATTCTTGCTGGGTTATTTTGAGATCCGACAGGATCATCTATATGAAAGAGCACTAGAGACCACAGAGGGGGGAGGTTGTCGATTCTGCTCTCCTTGGATGAGCAAAAACTTGTATCAATTCTACAAAATACAAAGAATAGTAAATATCTAGACCTTCCAGGGATTGGGGAAAACAGGGACCCAACTTTCTGAATTAAAGAATCAGGCTGGCCAATCTGGCTCGTATTACCTTTCTTCAGGGCGGGCTGGTGTCCTGAGGGAAAGTATGAGAGGAAGTAATAGAAAGTGAAAACTAGCCAGTTTGGCTTCTGCTTTTTTTGGCACCTTGTCGGCCCTGTCAGATGGTTGTGCCTGAAAACTGCTTGACCTAGGGAAGTTCAAGTCTCAACCTCTCAGTGGCTAGCCAACCGTGCTGTTGGCTTGGATTTAGAGCCCAGATCATTGGGGCTGGACCTGAGATCAGAATACAAAGGACAATGTAGCATCTTCAGGGCCCATTGCCATGGGAAGGATGCCAACGCCATCAGGAGCACTGGCTTTTAAAGAAGGATTCTCTGAGGGCACCTGGTGGCTCAGTCAACTGACTTGATTTTGGCTCAGGTCCTGACCTCACCATTTATGGGATCAAGCCCCGTGTTGGGCTCTGCGCTGATAGCACAGGCCCTGCTTGGGATTCTCTCTCTCCTTGGATTCTCTCTCTCTTTCTCTGCCTCTCTTTAACTCGTGGTCTAAATAATTAAATAAATAAATAAATAAACTTTAAAAAAAAAAGTGGGATTCTCTCAATGGGCTGAAAATATGGCCTGATTGCTATTCTTTTCCTCAATTTCTTTATTGTGGTAGAATACACATAGTGTAAAATTTACCATTTGAAATATGTTCATAATGTTATATAACTATGCCCCTGTGTCCAGAGTTTTTTGAACATTCCAGATGTAAACTCTGTACCCATTAAACAATAACTCCCCATTTCCCTCTCACCCCAGCCGCTGACAACCACCATTCTATGAATTTGACTACTTTAGGTATCTTACAAAATAGAATCATATAGTATTTGACTTTCTATGACTAGCTTATTTCACTCAGCGTAATGTTTTTAAAGTTTATCCACGTTGTAGCATGTGTGAAATATTCGTTTCTAAGGCTCAATAATACTCCTTTGTACACATACCACATTTTGTTTATCCATTCATTTTGGGGTTGCTTCTGACTTTTGGCCGTGAGTAATGAATGTGCAAATATCTGTTTGAGTTTGTGTTCTTTCAGTTCTTTCTGGTATGGACCCAGAACTGGAAATTTTGGATTATGTTTTAAGGAACTGCCTGCCATATTTTCCACAGCAGACACATCAGTTTACATTTCCTGCAGCACATGGATTCCAGTTTTTCTGCATCCTCATCAACACTTGTTATTTTCCATTTTGTTGATTATAGCCATCCTAATAGGTGTGAAATGGTATCGCATTGTAGTTTTGATTTGCATTTTTGTAATGATTAGTGATGTTGAGAATCTTCTCATGTGCCTGTGGCCATTTGTATATCTTCTTTGGAGAAATGTCTTTTTGGGTCCTTTGCCCATTTTTAAATTTTTTTTTTTTGTGATTGAATTGTTTGAGTTCTTATTATATTCTGTATCTTTTATCACATGTGGGAATCACAGATATTTTCTCTCATTTCCAAAGTTGTCTTTTCACTTTGATGCACAAAGTTTTAATTTTGATAAAGTCCAGTTTACCTATTTTTTCTTTTGTTGTTCCTGCTTTTGGGGTCATACCTAATGAAACCATTGTCAAATCCAGAATCCTAAAGTTTTCCTCCCATGTTTTCTTCTAAGAGTTTTTTTTTTTTTATGTTTTATTTATTTCTGAGAGAGAGAGACACAGCATGAGCAGGGGAGGGTCAGAAAGAGAGGGAGAAATAGAATCCGAAGCAGGCTTCCGGCTCTGAGCTAGCTGTCAGCACAGAGCCCAACGAGGGTCTCAAGCCCACGAACTGTGAGATCATAACCTGAGCCGAAGTCGGATGCTTAACCAACTGAGCCACCCAGGCGCCCCTCTTCTAAGAGTTTTATACTTTTAGCTCTTACATTTAGGTCTTTGATCCATTCTGAGTTAATTTTTATGTATGGTATAATGTAAGTGTCTAATACAGTCTTTTGCATATGAATATCCAGATTTCTCAGTACCATTTGTTGAAAAGACTGTCCTTTCCCTGTTAAATGGCCTTGGTATCCTTGTTGAATGACCATATGTGTGAGAGTTTATTTGGGGGCTCTCTGTTCTATTTTATTGGTTTATACATCTGTCATGCCAGTACCGCGCTGTTTTGGTTCCTATAGCTTATAGTAAGTTTTGAAATCAGGAAGTATGTGTCCTCTGACTTAGTTCTCTTTCAAGATTGTTTTGGCTTTTGGGGATCCCTTGAGATTCCATATGAATTTTAGAATGGATATTTTCTGTTTGTGCAAAAAACACCATAGGGATTGCACTGAATCTGTAGATCATTTTGGGAAGTGTTGCCATCCTAGCAATATTGTCTTCCAATCCATGAGCATGAGATGTCTTTCCATTTGAAGTCTTTTTCAGCATTATCCTGGGGCTCCTGGGTGGCTCAGTTGGTTAAGCGTTTGACTTTAGCTCAGGTCATGATCTCACGGTTTGTGGGTTCAAGCCCCACGTCGGGCTCTGTGCTGACAGCCAGCTCAGAGCCTGGAGCCTGTTTCAGATTCTGTGTCTCCCTCTCTCCCTGACCCTCCTCTGCTCATACTGTCTCTCTCTGTCTCTCAGAAATAAATAAAACATTAAACAAAAATTTAAAAAAATATTTTTCAGCATTATCCTTTAGTGTTGATCATACAAATCTTTAGCTCCTTGGTTAAATTTATTATTAAGTATTTTATTCTTTTTGGTGCTGTTATAAATGGAATTGTTTTCTTAATTTCCTTTTCAGATTGTACATTACCAGTGTATGTAGAAATGCAACTGATATTTGTTGATTTAGAAAATCAGCATCCTGGAACTTTGCTGAATTTGTTATTCTAATAGTTTTTTTTTTTCATGGACTCAAGACTTTTCTGCATATAAAATCATATCACTGTGAACAGAGACAGCTTTGCTTCTATTCCAATTTGGATAATATTTCTTTCTTTTTCTTGCCTGATTGCCCTGGCTAGAACTTTTAAGTGTCATGTTGGCTAGAAGTTGTGAAAGCAGTCATCCTTATTTTGTTCCTTATCATAAGGGAAAATCTTTCAGTCTTTCACCGTCAAGTGTGACGTTCACTGTGGTTTTTTCAAATATGGTCTTTATCATGTTGAGGAAGTTTCCTTCTGTTCTGAGTTTGTTGGTGTTTTTATCATGAAAAAGTTGAATTTTGTCACATGCTTTTCTTTATCAGTTGAGATGATTATGCAGGTTTTTCCCCCTTCATTCTTTTGTTGTATTGCATTAATTGGTTTTTGTGTGTTGAACCATTTTTGCATTGCAGGAGTAAATTCCCCTTGGTCCTTCATCCTTGCTGGATTCAGTTTGATGTATTTTGTTGAGGATTTTTGCATGGGTGTTCGTCGATATGAGTTTGTAGTTTTCTTGTAGTGTGTATGGCTTTGAAATTAGGGTAACGCTGAATTCCTAGAATGAGTTAGGAAGTATTCCTTCCTCTTCAGTTTTTTGGGAAGAGTTTGAAAAAGGATTGGTG